TCAGCTGCTGAATTGGGGGGGGGGGGGGGGGTACCCACAGCTGTACATGCCGTAGGAACTAGATCATTGACCTCGCACCCCTACAAAGGCGGCGGTGGATTTTTGCTTTTTTTGTACTGTGTCTGTATTTGTCGTTGTTGTGGGGGTCAGAACCCGGCTCCGTTTGTTCCACGCAGCAGAAATGCCATCTGTCCGTGGGCGAGCTGTTGATGGTTCATCTGTCTGCGCTTTCTTGAGCGCGCATGGCTTATGGTTCTCGGCTCCCGATACCCTCTGCCCTGTCGACCGTCACCTTGCTGAATGCTTCGCCTGACGCACACCCCTGTACTTCCTCCCACATCCCTCTCGTTCTTCGCAGCTGTGCATCAAGTTCGGCGTTAACCTGGACGCTGTCAACCGATCCATCCTCCGAGCCGTCAATAGCGGCGCGACACCTGGCCGCAGCGCTGGCGCCACGACCAGGGCAAGCAGCGACGCAGTCGTGTTGCCGGTTGAAGGAGCAAGGGACCCTGACAATACCGTGTCCGGCTCCTCCGCCACCACCGGGAAAAATCTAAGAACGTTCTTGACTTGCCAGGAAGGCGTGCACGTCGGCGGCGGTGGCGGCGGCGGGGACGACCAGCATTGCTTAGTGTTGCGATACGCAGTCGGGACGAGCAGCAGCGATAGTAGTAGCGTTGGCGTCTCCCTCGCGGACGCTTGGCCCATGCTCGTGGAGACCGCGCGCGGGGTCATGAAGACCGAGCTGGGCCATATCCACTTTTGCAATTGCTTTTCGTAGTAGACCAAGGGGCTCTCTCAGTCGTGATGGTGATTGGTGATGATTGGCGAAGGAATGACCGAAGATAATATCGTTTCCGGGGGGTGGAAGGCAGGTGGGTATGTTCTTGGAACGTTGGGCCAGTTTGAACAGCAGTGCGTACATCTTCCGTTCAAGGTCGCTTTGTGGGCTTGCTATCCTCGTGCACCAGACCCCTCTGTCTTCTTTTCGTTCCGAGGGGCTGGAAGGGATGCAGTGGGGCGTTGGGTGGACTCGGGAATCTTTGTGTGTTGTAGCACGAACCAGCGTTTGTTGTCGTTTATGGCTCGGGATGAGGAGAGGGCTTAGGATGCCAGACCCTCGTGTGTGCACCATGCCTCTTCGTTCTTGTTTGGCTCCGGCGGACCACGCAAAGAAACAAATGTTCGGCTCTCACGAACTCATAGTGTTGGGTTATGCATACTATGTCTTGGCAAGTGTCGCGCTCTTTGCTCTATCATAAATTAAGCCTTGACACCCATTTTCGTGGTGTACCCTCGACAAACGTCTCATGGAGAAAAACGTCATTTTTCGGCGGACAAATCTGTAAAGGCCATCTTACCTCGAAACGTGACCTAAAGGCTCCACCATGTATGTATGTGCATGAACTTCTCGATACGTTTGTTGAGGAGGTGGGATGCGGGGAAACAGGGCCCACTCCCGAGCACTCGCCCCCCCGTCAGATATCGCCAACGGCGCAATTTCTTCCCGTCTTTTCCGACCTGGGAACAAACACATGTCGTTCATGTCCTCAGAACAACTCGCATCATACCCGACACAGAGGTCTTTCCTGGAACACAAGAGGAGGGTTTCAGCAGAGACAGACAGGGGTTACCTTTTCCTTATTGTCGTCTACAATCCCAAGCTAGATGTCGGGTCTGTTACGAGGGTGCTTCCTCTGTTGTATTGTTGTGTACAGCAGTAGCACGTGTACCTTTCGAATTGGTCAAACTGACGAGCACGCCTTGCGTTGTCAAAAGGCCAACAGCTAGTAACGCCCTGCACATCAGGCATTGCAGGGGAGATGTCGAACAAGGAGATTGAAAGATAGAGCTCATAGAGCGACACGCGAATCAAGGATCGAACAAGGCCATGCAACAATGAAAACACGAAGAATCAAGGATCGCCCAAAAAAAACATACGTGGCCCTCGCCGCCACCTGAAGCGTCCACGCTTGGAAGTCCTTTATGGGCCCGGCTGCGAAGGAACCGTTGAACCGTCGCTCTTAACCAGCAGCCGGTGCCCCGAGAAAAATGCCCTGATCCGTGTCGGCGATGCCTGCTTGCGTTTCGTTCTCCCAAACTTGAAAAACGGTATTTTGTTGCAACTTCTTCCTGCACAGCGAAGTACTTGCCCAGGGACCCCTTTCTCGTTGAACGTGGAGATTGATTGTCCATGTACACCACCAAGCTTCACGACAGCTACCCTACCCCCATCTCCCTCGATAACCTGGCTCGAGAAGTTCCGCGCCTTTTCTCCCTCCAGCGCGTGTGTCTGCCCCGCTCCACTCCCTTCTACCCGTCCATCGGCGACCGGTATCGGGTGGAGGGTGCAAACGGCCACGGATCCCCACCCCCCAAGAGCTCATGCTTGTCTCTCACCGACCCAAGTCCTTTGCTGTACGTCTTCTCTGCCTCCGTGTACAGCAGCGTTGCGCTCGCTGGCATGCCTCCCCCCCCCCCCCCCCCCCCCCCCCCCCCCCCCCCCCCNCCCCCCCCCCCCAAGTTGATTAAGCGGGGAGTGGCATCGATAGGACAGAAAGGCTATAGAAAGTTTTTTGGCCCACCTTTGGCACAGTAGGATGGAACTATTTGCCATTGGTGATCGGTTCTTCTGTGGAAAAAATGTCCCGTCCTCGCCTGGTCAAATGGTCTACTGTAACCGTTAAGGCTTGCAAAACATTAGTACGCCCCCCCCCTCTCCGGTGTGGTGGTATAATAGTTGCGGTTGGTTCCGCCGGCGGAGTTCCAGAAACGACGTACAGCAACGGGAAATGGTCGATGAACATATGAGCCATGCTCCTGAAGGGCGGGGGTCTCGTGGCCGTTTGCCCCCGCCACCCGATCCCGGTTCCCGATCGCCGGGTCGAAGGGAGTGGAGCGGGGAAGACACACATACGCGA